CAGCAAAATAATACTCGGAATCATCCCCTTTATAAGAGGCATTATGGCTCGTGGTAAACGCACGTTAAATATATTATGTAAGTGAAATTAAAATTACAGTTTAAATCATTTATGCAATTTATTTTAAATTTTATTGAAATTGTTTAAAGAAACACGTTATGGATCAGCACTGTCCACTGGATAGCGACATGCAGTATTTCGCTGTTTGTCTAGTTTTTTTAAGAGACCTAATAATTTTCGTCGCTTCTGCAAAAGCGAAGGTCTACATTCTCCTTTGTGGCATACTGCTTCTTTGTCTTTAGGCTTGGCATTCTGCCCTTCTAATCCTCTTCGCCGCATTGTCTGTGTATCCTCTCATTTAATCTTTTCAAACTTTTCGTCTTTTAAATCTTTAATACCAAAATCATCCAAAGAGAGAGGGTTTACTCTAAGAGTGAAATCGAGTTAAAACAAGTAAAAAATTATTTTTATAAGGAATTAGGAAATTTTCAAAGAAATAAAATCCATTAAAAATTCTGTTAAAATCTCAAAAATATCGAATATCGGAAGGTGTCGATATATGGGGGTGTACGATATTGTGAACCTATATAGACAAATCAATTTCTCCTTGTGCAAAATTTCAGACAATTCCGTTGACAAATGTGGCTAAAATCATCAAAATACCGCATATCGGGAGGTACCGTTATATGGGGGCTATACGATATAATAGACCGATAAAGCCCATCTTGACCTGCCTGCAGACTAAAGACAAAATTGTAGCTTCCCATCTTAATTCGTTCTGACTGTAGCTTGATTAAAACAGACGGACGGACGGACAGGGCTAAATCTTCTTAGAATTTTACGCTGATCAAGAATATAAATACTTTGTTGGGTCTAAAATTATTATTTCGATGAGTAACAAACGGAATGACGAACTTAATATACCCTCCAAACTATGTTCGGTGGAGGGTATAAACAAGTTTTGGATGCTGATTTGAGTGTGTGATGAGAAAAATAGCCAAAAAAAGAGGATGGTGGATTTTGTGTACAAAAGCAACAACAATATCATATTATTTGAGGGAACAGATTGGCGACAGTGCTCTTTAACATGTTTGTTGAATGTTGAGAAAATACACATATCTACAAACACAACAATGGTATGAAAAAAACTAAAAGAGTGCTCGGCAAGGATAGAATTTTCCCGATTTCGAGCAAAATTTGCTCCCACTCTCAAACGAGCAAAACATGTTCGCTATTATTCGAGCGACATCGAAAAATTGAGTATACTAGACTTTTTTTTCCCTCAAGGAGTGCTCTCTCTCGAATTCGAGAGAAACTCCATCGTATTTCGAAGGTCTGCCTTTACCATATGTTTTCCATTAAGGGTTCCTCTATCCAAAAGCAAATGTTAAAAAAGTACATGTTGCATTTTATACAGATTAGTTAAAATTAGAAACAATGCACTTCCATTAGAAATTCTCATTATGAATCGGGGCTACCGAAATTTGTAGCTATTTATCGACTTTGGCCAGTAATAGCTGCTAATTAATAACTTATTTATCGACTTTTATTAGCCAAAAAAAAGGGTTTGTAATGATTACATTTTCTGGGCAGTGGGAAAATTCTCTATTTCAATATCAAAAAATTTCCATCGAAATTAATATTAATATGTCTATTTTAGCACTATTAAAGTAAAATTCTGGTAGAAACGGCAAAATATTAGAGTTTATATCAATCAAAATTATGTCAATCTAAAATGAACGTACTAATTTTTGTATGTTCAATCAATCGAAATTTTTCAATATCGAATGCAAACATTTGGTCTCAGCCCAATCTTCCAAAAAAAAATGAAATTTTCGACAACATTCTTTCGCATTTAAAAGGAGTATCAATTAAGAAATATATATTTATACTTTTTAAATATTCCAAGTATTTGCCTCGAATAAGTGCATTCCAATGTTTTATTAAAAATCAAAATCACAACTTAAGAGAATATCATTCAAGGCAAAGAAAAAAAGTTGGCAAAGTTAAATACTTATAAACAAAATAAGTACGATTTATATTTTTGGATGGAGATAAAAGCATTTTTAGGAAATAAATCTCAACAAGTGACAGTTTGACACCTTAGAACAAAAAAAAATATGGAAGTGCCAATTAAAATACCAAACTGTGTGAACTTTAAAACAAAAATTATTTCTGATCACCAAAGTTTAAGCAATGGCATCTTAAAGTAAATCCAATGGAAATCTAAAAATAGAAAACAATTCAAAATATTCACCAACAACGACAATACGAAGAAAAATTAATTAAATATGATTTGGTTTTTATTTGACCGAACACAACGTAATCCAGCATGACGTCATTGTTAATAACAATTGAAATGATCTAATTGATTTCGTTTAATAAAACCATTCAATGTTTTGTTAATTAATTCTGTTCTTATTGACTTCATTCCATTTCAATGGATCACGTCGCTGAATCATTGATCCATCATAATTCAAATGTCCAAATAACATTAAATAAACAAAAGCAAAATGCCACACAACAATAGTGCCGCCTTCTAATTTAGTCATTTGGTGCTTTTTGTGGACTTCAAAGGTATGTCACTGAAGCGTATCACGCAAAAACAAAACACATTCCTCCTCTAGGCGACTAACCTATAGCCATTATCAATCAGAGGTATTTGTGTTGACTTGACTAATCATCCATCCAGCCATCCACCCATTCGAGTATTTAACAGCCGAACGAGAAAACATTGAAATGACCGCAAAAATGAAGCATCTTTTGACAGTGAGATTAGTCATAATCTTGCCGATTGCTAGCAAAATCATCTCTTTTATTTTTTTGGAGAATGTATAAAGTTTATTGCCGATTTCTCAGAACTATAACTAAATATATGGGTTATTGTGTGGGACCTATAACCATAAAATCTTCATTTTAACAACGAATTCCTTAGGTATTTTATTGTGTACATTCAAATTTCATAATGATTTATATTTAAAGAAACAATTAAATAATTTATTTAGTTTCCAAATCAACTTCAATATTACAAAACATGACGAATGATTTTAGTACAAATTTTCATTTTTTTATTTAGGAATCGTTAATAGGAATCGTTTGATCGTGGTAAACATTAGAATTGATGCATAGCCATGACCTACCCTACATTCATTGTACCATGAAAGTTAGGTATGTTAGGAAAAATAATTTACTTTATTTAATTCCCTCGAATTCGAGTAAAGAGGAAAACTCGTCTGAAGTGTTTCTTCTGTTTTCTTCTTTGATTTGCCCCTAGTTCACAGCAACTTCAAATCAGTAAAAAAAAAATCTTTTATTCCCCCGATTTCACTCTTATAGCTAAATCTCACCCTTTTTCGAGAGAGCTCCCACCCCAAATAAAACTCCTACTCTTCGAACAATGCTGCTTGAGAGCAAGTTTCACTTCCGAGTGAAAACAAAGCTCTGCTAAAACTCTATTGAAAGCAGGACAGAAGATCATTTAATTTAAAAATAATCCAGGAATTAAAACAAATTAGCCAATTCGATTCGAAAAAACGTCAAAAAACAGGGGATTTCTTTATAAGGGCTGGTCCTATATTGATATTTTTGTAAATAGTGTTCCTACATAATAACAACACAAAATATCAACATTTGGCGAAGTTAAATGGAAAACATGGTCAAAACTTAAAATCAAAGTTATCCTTACAAAAAGTAAACTAATATGACCCATTTTCTGTACCAATGATTCTGGGTGTAATCCAAAGATCTTTATTAAATTTCAAAGTTCAATCCTATATATTGCGAAATTCATCTCCAACTATAGATGTTCCTTTATAGGATGAGATAAAAAATTGCAACAATTCAATTTTATTGAATGAATGCAAAAATTGCCGGAAATAGCCTCCAATTTTAGAATAAGTTTAGATTTGTTCGAATTGGCCACCTTTGGCACGAATTATGGCCTTCAAACGGTCAATGAAACCGTCATACGCTGCCCGAATGTTGTTCTGCGGTATTTTGGCCCATTCCCAGCGAAGCTTGCTTGCTTGCTTGAGATGATCGACACATTGGTTTTTTTTTTAGTGCTAACCTTGCTTTCCAAAATACTCCAGACACAATAGTTCAACGGGTTGATATCCGGAGATTTTGGTGGCAATTTTGCGCTGCAAATGAAGCGAGGAACCTCATTTTGTAACCATTCTTTTTGGAATGTACAAGGTCTGCGACCAAAATGTTTGCATGCCCAAGTCTTTAATACACCCTCCAGAATATTTTCGCGATAATATTCGGCATTTATTCTGATGCCACGGTCGATTAATACGAGCCGAGAGCGACCATCAGCTGTTATGGCCGTCCACACTATCACCATGGCCGGCGCTTGAATTCTAGAGGCCAACCGGAGGTGCACATTTTCAGCTGACTTCTTTGGCAAGTAAACACGATAATTTTGTTTGTTTACACACTGCTGGACAGCGAATATTTTCTCATCGGAGAATACCAAATTCGAGGGTTTACTACTTTCGGCCAAGCGAGGCAACTCATTAACCCTTTTGAGTCCATTTTCTTTCTGTTGGGGTGTAAATTCTTGCACTTTTTGGAATTTCAATGGCTTTACCACTAGCTCATTTTTCAATATTTGCCGAATAGAATATTACGATATGTTCAGATCACGATCCATTTTTCGGCCACTGCGACGCGGACTTCGATAAATTCGCTTCTTTACTTTTCGAACCATTTCTGATATTGCTGTTTTCTTCCGTTCACTTCCTTGAAGTAGGGCTGGGCTACCAATATCACGGTAACGAAAGGCACTTTTGGTTTTCCAGCCAAGTATAAAAAATCACACTATCACGCTTGAATTTTAACGAGTGGCTTGGAAATGACAGCAGTCTGAAGTCGGTTGCAGTTTTTTCATCTCTCCCTGTATATAAAAAACTTTTTTTGTTTAATAAAATCAATAACAACTTTTGCAGATATTAACTTTTATCTTATTAACTCTTATTTTTTGTTTATTTTTCCAGCTCTTTGCCATTGCATCGATAATTGTGATTTCCTTCAATCCCGATTCTATGCGTGAGGACATAGCAATCGGTGCCTACATTGCATGCTCGCTCATTGTGTTCTTTGCCTTTTTGGGATGTTTTGCTGCCATCCGTGAGTCGGTGTGTCTGACAGCAACAGTAAGTGAATTGAATTGCTAGATAATTTCAAAAACTAAAATTTATTTACACTTTTTTCTCGCAGTGTGCAGTTTTCTTATTGGTGCTGGCGGCTGTACAAATTGCCCTGACCTGCGTGGGAATGACTGACACGGGAGTCCGGAGTGCTGTCGAAACCGTCGATAAGGCATGGGAATCGAATGCCATGGATGCCATTCAAAGTGAACACGAATGCTGTGGCAAAATCAGCCCAAATGATTATATTACCCTGAACAAGGCCATACCAATCAGTTGCTATATTGATGAAGATGCCTCCAAGACCTCGAATCTGTTTTTCGAAGGCTGCAAGGATAAGCTACAACGGCACTATGAAAGCGAAGCGTACATATTTACTGTTGTTTCATGGTCCCTGGTGGCGTTTGTGGTAAGTGCGCTTTTTATACCCTACACCACAAGGTGGTCAGGGTATTATGTCTTTGTGCATTTGTTTGTAACAGGCAGAAGGAAACGAGATAGACCCAAAGTTCCTTTTGATCATCTGCATAGAATCACATTCTGAGTCGATTTATGCATGTCCGTCGGTCCGTCTGTCCATGTATTTTTGTAAACAAAGTACAGGTCGCATTTATTGCCCGATCCAGATGAAATTTTGCAAAGATGTTTTTTTGGCCCAAGGATGAACCCTATTGAAATTGGAGATAATCGGTCAAAATTTAGATATAGCTCCCATATATATCTTCGTCCGATTTGCCTTTTATTGTGCACCAAACGTGTAATATCAGCCCGAATTGTATGGAATTTTGCATATACACCCAAATTAGGCCTGAAAATAAGTATGCCAAATTTGATCGAAATCGGTTCAGATATAGCTATAGCTCCCATATATATTGTTCATCCGATTTGTTATTTTTGTCCACCGCCGCCGTAATATGCACTATGCAACAACAATATTTGGGGAAATATATCAAATACAGCTCAGAAATACATTTGCTAAATTTTATCGAGATCGATTCAGATTTGGATATAGCTCCCATATATATCTTTATCCGATTTCAAATTAATTGTGCACCAAATGGGCAATACAATTCCGAATTTAAAAGATACAAATGCTTCGGCATATTTAGTCCTTTGAACTTTAAATTATAATTATAATCATAGCGTGTATGATTGAATTCTCCCATAAAAACTTTTAATTGTTATGTGGAGCTCTACTTAATTAGCAAAGTGGTGTAGGGTATCATAAAGTCGGCCCCGCCCGACTTGAAGACTTTCTTTACTGGTTTTCTATTGAAAAAATAATTTTGAATAATTATTAAATGTTTTTTTGTTATTTTCAGATAATTGGATTCCTGCTGGCCGTGTTCTTGGCCATCAGTTTCCGCAACACTCAAAGACGCATGCAATTTTAAGAATTCCATTAGACTTCGTCACCTACCTACCTAACTATCTACCGACTAACTTTAGGAAGTACAAATTTATAATAAATTTGGCATCTCATTCTCACTTCTTGAAACGCTAATGTATTTTTTGTAATGTTAAATGTATTTTAAATTTGAATTGATTGGAGAAGACGCGACCACCAACACCGACCCCCCAAACTCTACCACCGAATCGTATATTTTTTATTCTCAAATATTTACAAAATTACACATTGAATATGAATTAATTGTTTAAACTAGAATGCGAAACAAGTGCAATTTATTAAAAGTCTTATTGTTGGTTATTCAAAAACAAAACGTATTTTATAAGTAAAGAACGAAATGTTTGTTCACCCCTCCTCCTCCTCTATCTATATGTGTATGTATTTTAAATTTTTTGATTTAGTTTTTTATGTATAAATGTTTTATTCTCTGCGTGTGTATTTATTTTTATAAATGTCTGTTAACTGTGTTGTAATTTATTTAGTAATTTATTTACAAAGACAATGAAACAAAATAAAAAAATCTAAGAAATAAACAAAAAAAACTAACAATGACACATATTTATTCATCGGTAAAATATTTAGCTGATAAGAAATTCAAATTCATAGATTAAGTTGGGATGAATAGATGCAGTATTAAACGTGTATGAAAACAAGTCAAAAAGTATCAGTCGGTTTTTCCGACAGATGTATGCCCTCAAATGATGTCTGATTATTTAAAAGATGACGTCAGAGACAAAAAAATATTAACAAGTAAAAAAGCTGTAAGTTCGGCCGGACGGAACTTTGAATACCCTTCACCATTTGGAACGAATTTGACCATTTTCAAAAAAATACCGAATGTAGCCCTTATATTAAGGTCTATACGACGACGTGGATCTGCATGGGCAACTTTTGTCATAAGCCATTACAAATGCGAAACTTGAAAATTAAATCAAAATACCGAATATCGGGAGTTAACATTATATGGGGGCCATACCAAAACATGAAACTTCACAGATATTTTTCTGTCATACGCTGTAGTATTCATTGCGAACTTCAAATAACAAATTGAAACAATTTCGGTGAATAATGTCGCTTAAATCATTAAAATACCAAAAATAGGGAGGTACCATTACATCGGGGCTATACCAAAACGTTGACCTACATGGTCCATTTTCAATACCAAAAGTCCTGCAGACATAATATATATTTTAGTAAGATTTTATCAACCTACTTCATTTAGTTCGGATGCTAGATTGATTTCCACAGACGGACGGACATCGCTAAATGGACATAGAATTATGCTTATCAAGAAAATATACCTTGTGGGGTCTTAAATGTATATTTCGAGGTGTTACAAACGGAATGACAAACTTAATATACCCTCCATACTATGGTGGAACGAGATCCCATAGAAAGCATTTGAAGTGGTATGTATACATTTATCGCATTTACGTTAGTTTCGAAATGGCAAACTAAGTCAATTTCTTCTGGTACCACCCCAAAAAATTATTTCGCAATCTTACGTTTGTTTATATTTGAACAGGATCATTTGAAAACCCTAAGCAAAGCTTTGAAAGCGCTTGTACCACTTTCAGCATTGCTAGCAATGACAACCAGATGCCCTCTGGATTACTAGCATCCCAAAAATAATGATAAAGGCATTACCAGTAAGATAAAAATGATGAGTTATCTCCATAAAATTAGCATGGCAACAAACCGTATCTTTATCATACCAACAAATGAGTAGCGGCGGCGCAAAAGGTAGCACGTCCGACTACAAAACCTAAGATCGCAGGTTCGAATCTCAGCGCCATCAAACATACAAAATATATCGCTGATCCAAATCCCTCAAATAACAAAACGGAGTGTGTTCTAAATATACAGAGGGTATATAGCATTTGATACGTCCAAAACAAAATTCATTTCAGGTTATTTGGAGCCGATATAAAGTTGTATCCGTTCTATCCGTCTGTCTGGCAGGAGATTTTGGTATTAACTTGGTACATCGTAATTTTATTATCAAACTTAAATTCAGTTCGATGATAGGCAATATTGGTCCAATCCTTGTAGTACTTCCCCACAAAACGTAAACATTTTCAATAAAGTATTTTTCCACAAATAAAGAGAAAGGATCATCCGAGTTTGTTCACACTTTTGCAAAACCAACAGTGGTGAACAATATCGGCCTATGCCTTCCAATACCTGTCCCACAAAGAGTACAAATTTTGAACATTCACAACGCGTATAAAATGTGAAACAAGAGTCCAATTGTCTTCAAATTTCGCATATTCCAATATTTCTACCAACTCTAGGTCTTCTATTAAGATAGCATAAAACGGAGCACTTCTTCTGATAACTCCTTTGCAAAGGGTCATAATTTTGAATCCTTAGAAAATGCAACATGAGTATCAGATTCCTTCAAACTAGGCACATCCCAATATTTGGGATAGATTGGGCCACTCTCTCTGATACCTCCCCACAAAACTTCAACGAAAAAAAAACATATCTCATATAAAGTAAAGGAAGTAACTAATATAGTCGAAATGTCGTTATATTATATTTGAGTTAGGTCAAATGCGAAGAGGAAAATATTGGTCCACTTTTTCGGTATCTCCTTCACAAGGATCAACATTTTAAATAATCATAGCGCAATTTAAAATATATTTTAACAAGCAAAAAAGTAGGTAGAAGTTTAATACCGGCCGAACTTTAAGGAACTTGAAAAATTTCCAAAAAAATCCGCTCAAACATTCCGTTACAGGGAAAACTTTACCCTTATATAGCGGCTATACGAGTGGACCTATATAGACCATTCTCTTCCAGGTAGTAAAGTACTCAGAAGGAACTCCTTGTGTGGATTTTCCGACAATTTTATAAAGAAATTTGGCTACAATCATCAAAAAACCAAATATCGGGATTTACCGTTTTATGAGGGCTATACGATATCGTGGACCGATATAGCCCATCTTAGCTTTCTGTCTTAATTAGTTTTGACTTTAGCGTGATTACAGCAGACGGACGGACGGGCAAGAATAAATAAACTTTGTTAGATGTAAAATTATTATTTCGATGAGTTACAAACGGAATGACGAACATAAAATACCCTCCATACTATATGTGGTGGAGGGTATAATAAATTGACAAAGGCTGAGGGTCAGCAAAACCGATTGATGCTGTTTAACTTTTTTTTGTACATATTATGGCTTAAGAAATGTAAAGAAAGGAAAGAAGAAAAGTTAAAGTGTTTCTATAACGTTCCTCAATTCAGCAAATCTGCTGGGTAGCAATGGATACAATAATTTCATTTTATTAGAAAAACACTTGAAATTTTACAATTTGTAAAATTAGGAATTCCTACGTTTACATACATTTCTACACACTGTGCAATAATTGTGTTTTGTTTATTTTTAAAGATTAATTTAATTTTTCACTGGGCAAGGTTTTTCCGCATTTCTATCGGATAATTCAACATATTAATTGACTTTCGATTGTTTTGTTTTCCATTAATGAAATTTCTTACTGGAAATAGCTGGAAAAGTTCTATGAACTTTAAGTTTAAGGGCATCCAATACCCTTGAATTGGGTCCGTCCATTTACACACACATGCATGTATGTATGCGTGTGTACATACATGCATGTCAACAATATATTCCACCGTGTTGGTGAACGTGAATAGAAACATGTGCGAGTAAACATTAGCAGCCATGTCATTCTTGTATACAAAATAACAAATTATAAAAAAAAGCTTTCTTTAAAAGCTCTGACATATCTGACATGTTGATAAAAATAATTTGTTTACAAATAGACATAAGAAGAAAATTTTGTATTTGTTTTCATTTGCAAATTGCGTGCAAACAACATTTAGTGGCAGTTTAGCAACATTGGTTAGGTTGGTGTCAAACGGAGGCGAAATATGAATGTTGAGAGAGCATATGGAGAAAACCTCATCAGCTCTCTTGCTACGGAAGAAAAATACTCGAACAACTTGTTGCTTCGGCAAAATGAAAATAAGAACGGATGTTGACATCAATAAAACGGATGTTGACATCGCCAATTGTAAACACCCAACACAATTATGAACATACTTGTTTCATTTTGGGAAAATGTTCTCTCACAAATTTGTATATGTACCTTTCCAACGTGCATTATTTGCGTGCAGTGTTTCGATAATAAACAAATAAACTAAACATAATTATACACGAAAAACATTAGTGGGAGTAGTAGGCACTGGTGTTTCTGTCGCATGAGTAATAATTATATACAATGTTAAAAAAATGTGTCACAAGTTCAACAGTTGTGTGTATTACCTGCTTAAATTGGGTTAATCACTTAAGGTGAGGTTTTTTATTAGTTTCTCTGTACAACATGTTGTATGACGTTACAACATTTACTGGTCTAAGTTTATTACGATAACAAATCTGTTAATGAACTTTTTATTGTAGTCTTTGTGCCTCAATTCTCGTTCTATGAAAATGTGAAATTAAAACTTTTATAAAGGAAAGAAATGTGAGATGAAAAAATTAAAAACATTTTTTTAGAACATAAATTCAGTCCCTGCTTTGGGAAGGATGTCGTAAAAATTATGAGACATTAAGTTTAGAAATAGGTCCACGTTATGACATACAGGGTGAGATGAAAAAACTGCAACCGTCATTTCTAAGTCACTCGTCCTACAGCTGTTAAAATTATTCCAGTGACAGCTCATTATATTGTTTACAAGCGTGCAAAAGCATTTGGGTGAGAATTTTCCAGAAAAAAACTTATTCGTGATGGAATTCAAGCGTAATAGTGTGATTTCTTTATATTTGGCTGGAAAACCACAAGTGGCCATCGTTGGAGCACTTCAGCATTTAAATGTCAATACATCTTTTGTGTCTCGTACCATCGCTCGTAGCCCGACTTCAAGGAAGTGGACGGAAGAAAACAGAAGAAATGGTTCGAAAAGTAAAGAAGCGACTTAATCGCAGTGGCCGAAAAATGGCTCATGAGCTGAGCATATCGCAATATTCCATTCGACAAATATTGAAAAATCAGCTCGGGGTAAAGCCATTGAAATTCCAAAAAGTGCAAGAAGTTACACCGCAAAAGAAAGAAAATGGACTCAAAAGAGCTAAAGAGTTGCTTCGCTTGGCCGAAAGTGGTGAACTGCCGAATTTGGTTTCATAGTCCAGCAGTTTATAAACAAACAAAATGATCGTGTTTATTTGCCAAAGAGGTCAGCTGAAAATGTGCACCTTCGGTTATCCACTAGAACTCAAGCACTGGCCATGGTGATGGTGTGGGCCGCCATAACAGCCGATGGTCGCTCTCCGCTCGTATTAATCGACCGTGGCATCAGAATAAATGCCGAATATTATCGCGAAAATATTCTGGAGGGTGTATTGAAGCCTTGGACACGCGAACATTTTGACCGCAGACCTTGGACATTCCAACATCGCACTCAGCACGGGCCACCCATGAATGGTTACAAAATGAGTATCCTCACTTCATTTCCAGCGCACAATGGGCACCAAAATCTCCGGATACCAGTCCGTTGGACTATTGTGTCTGGAGTATTTTGGAAAGCAAGGTTTGCACTAAAAAATACCAAAGTGTCGATCACCTCAAGCATGCGCTTCACCGGGAATGGGCCAAAATACCGCAGAACAACATTCGGGCAGCGTGTGGCGGTTTCATTGGCCGTTTGAAGGCCTTAATTCGTGCCAAAGGTGACCAATTCGAACAAATCTAAACTTATTCTAAAATTTGATGCTATTTCCGACATTTTTTGCTATCATTCAATAAAATTTAAAAATAAAAATGTAAAAATTATCCTGTATGTGGGAGATATATGCAAATAAAGTCGTGCATACACAAACTTAATTTTTTTGAAGTCTGATGCTACATCTCCCTTTCCAAGTGGAATTTCAAAAATTTATACAGCCTATGTTGCTTTCAGGCTAAGCAGTAGTATGTTTGGAAATTTTCACAAAAATCTCTTCGGTTGTTTTTGAGCCTATAAATTACAAACAATCAAACGTATAAACATTTTCCTTTTTTTATAGATATAGAAGAAGAATAGAAATATGACTATTCAAAATGTTGACCTCTTTGTGGGGAAAATACTAAAAAAAAATGAACTGATATATCCTTATCCTCACTATATCTTGTGTTGGTAGAACCATTAGTTTGTATCAAGTTTGAAAATAATAGGATTGTCGTTTTATTCAAAAATTAACCGTTTTAGATTACCCAGATCTTGTGTTGATAGAAATATTGATGTGTTCGAAATTCCGAAACTCTGAACTCGATTTAGGTTTAATAATTATATTATGTGTTCGAAATTCCGAAACTCTGAACTCGATTTAGGTTTAATAATTATATTACAATGTACCAAATTTGGACGAAATCAGATACATATCTTCCTCTCTATACGAGAAATATATGTATGTCCATATGATAAGCGCAAACATCATAAACAATCCTTAGAGAAGGACAATTATTCGTGCCTTAAAAACGTTAAGGTGGCTAGTAGTAACTACAAATTTTTGTAATTTAGTTTGATTCAAATCAAATCAGCTGTTAAGCCCTGTAATTGATCCAGATAGAGAAAAACAAGAACTCTTTATTCTATCAGTAAGGATCTCCTCCATTCTTCATCTCCATTAAAACCAAAAGCCCACATCGCCTAAAAACGGTTAACACATTTGTCATCGATTCTTTTATTCGAACAATGTTTATGAAAGGCGGATTATTACTCAAGTCTTCGTGTAGATACGGTAAACAACATAACATTGAACTTATTTTTAACTTTTCACTAATACACATACAAACACTTCGTCCTTAACGAATACTCAATAATACTCAAATAATGCTCTCCGCTGTAGAAGTGTTTATTCGGCGAACAATGTTGCCAAACATTTTGACTTTTTTTAATATGGCCAAAAAGTGTATCTCATTGTATTATTAATGTTTAAGGTCTAATGTCTCTTTGGTCGAAATCCATTTTAGGACATTCGATATGCAGGATATTTCCGTTCGTCTATCTGTCTGGTTGGTGCCCACTTTAACTCTTTAAGGCAGAACCGATTTAGTCCAAATTAGGTCCATCTTAACATTTTTCGAAATTTTTATCGAGTTCTATGATACGTAATACGGGTCAACTTCTTCAAGTACCTCTACCACAAAAATAAAACAATCACAAAAACAAGTTAGTCTGTATATAAACAGAAATTTTAGTGTACCGACAGATATATAGTGTAGGATACGAGTATATATTAAATACTCTCAGCATTTGTCCATAAATTAATGTAGCATAAATATTGGTCCTATATTTACACCAGATCTAATGTTACGAGAGTTATGATTACTGTCAATTTAGTGGAGGCTATAATATTCGGTTAGTAGATCAAAAGGTTTTTTTTTGGATTCTTAGACCAAACATTTTTAGGGTCCCTTATATATTAACTTACCCATAGGGTCTTTAATATTTTTATTTATGCTTCGCAAAATTTGAGATAGAAAGATTTCAGATTTGAAATTTGATAGAGAACTTTGAATTTCCTATAGAGTCATTAGTATTAAATATGGGTCGGTCCAATAATTTCCAATTAATTTAGTTAAAATCAAGATGTACCTTGATGGCTACTCAAATACATTGACCTACATTGAGAATTTTTTGCAAGAAGCTGTACTACTCCGTCAAAATAAAATACCAAATAACTTTAAATTTTATTTTGGTCAACTTTTGGTACTAAAATCAAGAAGTAGCTTCAAATTAGGCCTATAGCAGAATGTGGGGATATATTGATCTTTTTCCTTTTACTCAGCACAGCCATAACTTTACCCAATGACTATTTAAAAATACAGATTTCAATTTTTTTAATTTGCCGTTTTTATGCTCTTACAACGACTGACATATTACAGCTCACAATTCTAGCTTTATTCTTTCAATTTATACCATAGTACAGCATTTAGTAGATGCTTGTTCTTTTAGATCCTTTTTATTAAATTTCGAAAAACTCATCCGTATCACACCGTCAACATCTTAAATACCCCCCCCCCCTCCCCCCTTAAACCCGCCAAAACAAATTGTAAAAAACGCCACAATTGACATCACTAAAGAGCAACGATTGAGAGATTGAGAAAAAAGGAACTCAACCCATGACATCATTGCTGGATGCCATGGCACACTACCCTCCAAATGAAAGTAGCGGAAAGCGGAGCAAAACAAAATGGACAAACAAAGAAAAACAACAACAAAACAAAGCGTTAAAAAGGACTGCACAGCAGAACGCACAAAATTCGAAATCCAATTCAAGATGAGAACGACACAGGCAGAGCGATTAGTAGTTCATTGTCGGCTGTGAAAGCAAGTGGTGGTCAGTACAAAGTGAAAAAGAAGAGAAACGACAACGCAGTAAATAGTGAAGTGAAGTAAATTGGAGTGTTTTATTGTAAAGAAAGAAAAAAAACAGGAAAACTGCACTGAATGTGATGTTCGATATTTGTTATTTTGTGTATTTCCTCCTGTAGTGAAAATACAATTAAAATAAACAATTTTCTTCAAATTTCCCGTCACAAAACGAGATTAGGGGAAGATGAGTTGCCAATTGTCCTTTTACAAAGTGCTCTTGAGCATAGTTAACACCGTGTTATCGGTACGTATGAGCAATTTTGAAATATATACGCACTTCATCAATTTTTTAAATACTCTCCAGTAATCATACGCCAAGTGGTTTGAATATTTATTTAAACTTTGTGTATTCATTTTCCTTTTCTTTACAGTTACTTGGCATTGGTCTGATAGCATTGTCTGTGTATGAATTGAATTCCTCCACACCTGGCACCTTCGAACATGTAGCTGTGGTAGTGCAAATATTCATTGGATCCTTTATTATACTCACCTCATTCACGGGCTGTATTGGAACTTGTCGTCATTCCTTGAGTCTAATATGGAGTGTGAGTATTTTCCTGACACAAAAAGAGAGAGATAGAGAACAGTATGAGTTCACTTTTTTTAAACAACAACTTTCCCTTTCCTTTTTCGTTTTCGTTTGTTTACTTTCCGTTTTGATGCGTGGCGATGATGCGTTTGTTTTTATTGTGACCCCCTTTACGTCCTGCCAAACCGTATTCCGACACTCAGTATGTCATGTGTGTGGGATTTTTGTTGGCATTCCAACTTTACATTATTGTGGCAGCCCATTCCACGGACTACGTTTTAAATGCCCGTAATGATTTTAATAATTTGTGGTCGAATTACACTCTCAACGAAGACCGGATTTCGAGTATAGAAACAAGTGTAAATATTTCTTAAAGCGTTTTGCTATCCGAAAATGGGATAACAATCATTAATAATTCAATTTCAGAATCACTGCTGTGGCCGAAATAGTTCATTGGACTATGAACACATCGTTGGAGCAATACCGAAAAAATGCTACCTTAACCAGGAGAGAACACTTGAGAACCTCTTCAAGGAGGGCTGTTTGGAGGTTCTCGAAGAGAATGCATCGAAAAACAGTCAAATTGGTTTGACAGTGAAATGGATTATCTTCTTCCTGGAAGTATGTATACCATTGAAGTAATGTGACCTTGACATCATTTAGTGCTGCTCTAAGATTTGTTGTTGCATGTTTTTGTTTTCGATGAGAACGTTTTAGAACTCAAGTCAGTAGCTTAGTGTGTTTGGCAATATATTTTTCGCAAGGGTGTTTGGTTGTGGAATGTGGTAACAGTATTTTCAACTCATCCATCATAAGCGTCATAACATGCCTAAAACGTAAATTTTATAAGTGGAAAGCCAGATATAAAACACAAAGTGTGGATTTAAACAATTCAAAACCAGTAAGGAAAAATCATAAGACCGGCAGGGTCTACCATGTTATACCCTACACATATATACATATTTAATAGAGCTCCGATAACAAAAGAAGTTATATTGCATTTTTTTTTTTTTTTTTTTTTTGAAGTATATCATACCACCTATCAACCTGTGGCTTTAGAGCAATTATAATTTGATTTCGGAGGGAACAATTCCGAATCGATTTTCACCAAACTTGACGGAGACATTTTGATCATTTATACCAAATAACTTTGCTATATGCACTCATTGTTGTGGAGTGCATATTACGAAATGAACACGTAATGAATGTAAACACCTAATCAGATGTAATATATATATGGGAGCTACAGCTATATCTGAACCGATTTTCACCATATTTGATGTACTAGCTTCTAAACTGAATTCGGTCGGATGTGCTGAAATTCACGTCAATTGTTGTGAGATTAAAAATTTGGCGCACAATTAACCCGAAATAGGCTGGAGATATATATGGGAGCTATATCCAAATCCAAACCGATCTTGATAAAATTTGATAGATGTATTTCTGGACTGTATCTAATATCTGATACCAAACACCATTATTGTGGAGTGTATATTACTCATGTGAAGGACTTAAAACACCAAATAGGATGAAACATATATATGGGAGCTATAGCTATATCCAAACCGATTTTCATCAAATTTGACGTACTTGAATTCGGTCGGATGTACAAAAATTCATGTCATTTGGACTGATATTAACTTGTTGCTCTTTGAGATAATTGGAGAAAAACAACAAGATTTTGGCTTAAAAATACCAGAATCTTTTTTAGGTGGATAAAATGGATGCACCAAAAACTCATACATTGGAACTATGCTGCCCAAATTGCTTCTCTAAGCCCATTTACTCACTCATTTTTTTTATTTTCGACAAATATAGGACTTTTTCCGAATTCTTCATATCTTCTTATATCTTCACTGCTCAATAGCCCGTCCGGGTTGGGGAATAATTCAAGTGGATTTCATAGATAGATTTCATATTTTGTATTCAATTTTTATGTATACGAAGAGACCCCAATATTTTGCCATCAATTTCTTAATATTTAATATAGACCTTTCAACATTTATAGAGAGCTATGGATTACCTCAAGTAACATTATTCCAAAACGTGGATCATGTTATTAAAACAAATGAATACTACTTATTTTACAGAAGAAAATTGTCTGTACACATCCACCTCTTCGTATGGTCCCCATATAGCGATGCCTCTAATATTCCTATTTTGAGAGTTTTAGCTACATTTTTTAACAGAATTGTCACAATCTTGCTATTGAAAGTTTGTTATTCAATATAATTGTTATCCCCTTGACAATTTCTGGTACAGGGTATTTTGTGTTTGTGTAATTGTTTGTAACGTGCTTAAGAAACTGAGATAGACCCATAGTTTCTTTGATAATCTTAGTCAGTTTATCCATCATTCATTCCATGTAAAGTATTGTCCGATTAATATGAATTTTTCCACAAATCATTAGTTTGCTTAATGACGTACACTATTGAAATTGGTTATGTTCGGTCCAAGTTTAGATATAGCTCCCATATATATCTTCTTTAGATTTCAATTTTATTGTGCTCCATCGGTATAATATTCGTCCTAATACGATGCATTTTTGTACATACAACTGAATTCAACATAGAGGCAAATTTGTAAAATTTAGTGAAACTCGGTTCAGATATAGCTACAGCTTTCATGCATATATTTCATCAGAATTAATATTTACACACTCCACCGCCTTAATATACACAACATAAAAACGATATTCGGTAAAATGGCTTAGAATAACACGTGGCAAATTTTATTGAGATCGGAACAGATTTGGTTATAGCTCCCATATATAATTTCACCTTCATTGTACACCAAATGGTTATATCAGCCCAAATTGAATAGAATGTGTCATATTTGATGAAATTCGGTTCAGATATAGATATAGCTCAAATATATATGTTTCATCCGATTCGGTATTTATGTTCCTCACATCCGTAATACGCACTCCACAACAATAATATTTGGTGCCACATGCCAGACACAGCTTAGAAATGCCTGTGCCAAATTAAGTTCAAACCCAATGCACTCTATAGCAATGGTATTGGATGGGAAGGGTACAAATGCGTTTTAATATTATAACTGCTTTAAAACAATAATATGCATTCAAAATAATCATAGTTGGTATTATCTATTCCTCATAAATTATTTGTTATGGGTAGCTCTACTAATTATGTATAGTAGTCTAGGGTATCATATATTCGGCACCGCCCGACTTTGATCTTTCTTTACTGGTTAATATATTCAAATTCCTGTTGTTTAGGGAAGATTTGGACTTTTGATGTCCTCTGAGTTAATTTATTTAAATGAACTTTTAAAACATTTTAGCTATTTACGAAAAAATCGAGCGTTCTAAACCAAATATTTTTGTGGGAGACTTTTGTGAAGAAGACTTTTGTGATTGAGTTAAAACACAAATTTTAGAAAACCAAGAGCAGCCAATGTTTGTTATATTTTTCGGAAAAAAAACCTCGAAAAGTCGAATTGGTGTGGTAACCAATTTCAGGACCAAATACACAGTACTATGTCGACAAAGGCAAATGAAAAATTCTTACAATCGCAAATAATCAACGAACCCTGACTCTGGGTTGCTGGGAAGTATCCTTGATTCTTTGATGAAGCTGCCAAAGCCCTTCCTCCTTTAACAACATCTTCGGTTGGGAAAACTCACTGCAACTCAAAACTGTCAATAATAGAACTGATGCTAAGCCTATAATGACAAAAAGTTAAAAAGCAAATATAATCTTCACATTGAATTACATTGTTTGTAGGTTGCTTAGTAATGAATAAACCTTTCCCCACCGACATTTCAAACTATTTCCATCACATTTTTCGAAAGAAGATATATAAACTTATTTTACTTTTGTTAGATTGGTTGGAGTCTATAAAACATTGGGAAGCAATGGTCTGAGACGCATTAGATGTAATCTAATGTCATGTTTATGTTAAAGTTTTTTGTAGGGTTAAACTACTTTGAAAGTATTTGAAAAACAAGTAAACGTATTTATATGTAAACGTATTATAATGTCATTTCTTTTTAAAAAAATAATGTGCTGCTGTCTATCGAATTGATGTAGACTTTTGAAACTCTAAGAAGCTCACATGCATGATATATGAGCCTCTTCTTTTTTCTATATTCAATAAAGTTTATTGTTAGTAGATAATTTCTGTAGAAATTTTTAATAAAAATAAGCACCTAATTTCTGGTAACGGCCTATTTTATGTGTTTGGAAGGACCTAATCACATTATCCGACTGCTCTTTAATGCCCACAATCATAAGATGGGGGTAAACTATTTGCCATTACTTGTAATACCTCAAACTATTGGGAATCCCGATAGTGAAATTCTACATTTAACTATGTCATCTGCCGGCCGTCAAGGGACAGATGTTATGACATTATTTAAGATAGATGCTTGAAATTTGCACAGACGTATACGTCATTCTTATGATGATTGATATTGAGGGTCCTCGTTAAGGTATAGCCCTCAAATAATTCCACTACCTGATACTCGTAATTTTGGATAAATCTGTCACTTTCGACCGAATAAGCTCTAATATCTAGATTTGGGGAATCTTTTTCAAATCTAAATATTAACATTGGCTCACCGCGGTAGCCGACTATTTCGGCGGGCCCAACAGACAAAATTAGTTTTTTTGAAACAAAATAATTCAAAACTTACCAGACTAATTCGGTGTATTGGTTCTCTTTTAGGCACAATCTTATTATAACTGTATCTGCAGACTTTAAGTATTTTGATGTGATAACAATCTCGATTTTCGACAAATTGGGCTATAATTTAAAATTTGAATTATTATTGAATGTACATTTGCTATACGAAAATAAAATGCCCACGCTTTGATATAAGCTCCACATAAATATGTTGGTCAATTTAGGATCGAAGTCGCAACCTCCATCTTATTGGGCAATAATTTTATTATCTTTGCTTTTTGAATGTGTAATCAAACACAAAACACAAAAAAAAAATATTAAAAAATGTGCAATTCAAAATTGAAATTCAAATTGAAAAAAAATTTCACGGCATATACAAATTTGACAAAAAATAAAAAAATATATGACAAAATGTGACTAAATTATTCATATTTTTACTAACGTATTTTTACGCGGTTTTATTGTTTTCTGTCAAGAGAAGTATTGAAAAATTAGCTCGGGATAAAGGCATTGAAATTCCACTCCGCTTGGCCGAAAGTGGTGAACTGCCGAATTTGGTTTTCTCCGATTAGAAAACATTCGTTGTCCAGCAGTTTGTAAACAAATAAAATTATCGTGTTTATTTGCCAAAGAGGCTAGCTGAAAATGTTGACCTTCGGTTGGCCACCAGAACTCAAGCGCTGGCCATGGTAATGGTGTGGGCCGCCATAACAGCCGATGGTCGCTCTCCGCTCGTATTAATCGACCGTGGCATCAGCATAAATGCCGAATATTATGGCGAAGATATTCTGGAGGGTGTATTAAAGTCTTGGACACGCAAACATTTTGACCGCAGACCTTGCAGACCAAGAATGGTTACAAGGTCAGGTTCCTCGCTTCATTTCCACCGCAGAATGGCCAACAAAATCTCCGGATACTAATCCGTTGGACTATTGTGTCTGGAGTATTTTGGAAAGCAAGGTTTACACTAAAAAATACCAAAGTGTCGATCACCTCAAGCAAGCGCTTCGCCGCGAATTTTCATTCAATAAAATTTAAAAAAAAAATGTCATTTGCCTTTGTTGCATTTTTATACCCTCCAACTTGGAAAGGAGGGTATATTAACTTTGTCATTCCGTTTGTAACATCCTTAAATATTCGTCGTAGACCCCATAAAGTATATATATTCATAATCAGCATAAAATTCTAAGTCGATTTAACGATGTCCGTCTGTCTGTCTGTCTGTTGAAATCACGATACAGCCAACATTATTTGACGTAAAGCGCCAAAATTTAGCAGAGCAATTGGTATTGTGTCTAGGATGGTTGGTATTGAAAATGAGATATATCGGTCCACGTTCTGGTATAGTCCCCATATAATGGTACCTCCCGATATTCGGTAATTTGATGATTTTTGCCAAATCTTTTTCACGTATTTGTCTGAAAATTGGTATTTGTAGGTCATAATGGGTTCTAGCTCCGTTGGCGAAACATTGCATGTATGGGTCCATGATTTGGTATATCCCCAATATAACGGTACCTCCCGATATTCGGTACTTTGATGGTTTTTGCCACATTTTTTCACTGATTTGTCTAAAAATTGGTATTTGTGAGTCATGATGGGTCCTAATTCGTGTGGCGAAACATTGTATGCATAGGTCCACGTTTTGGTATAGTCCCCATATAACACTGTACGACACGATTTTTCACCCATGATCAAACTGACAAAATTCTGAAAATATAGCTCAAAATAAAATATACGTATCTTCCAGTTTTTCTAGATCAATTCATTTAAGCTTTTTACGAGCAATTTAATTTTTGGAGTATTAAACAATAAAAATGTAATTTTTATAGTTGTAAATTAAAAGGTAAAACTTAACAGTTAAATTAATTTGAAAATTTTATACGTTTATTTTGACGTTTATACATATCGGTTCTTGTCTCACGGCAAAGTGACCAACAGTATTGAGCCAGCATATACCTCATGTCTTTGCCTTTGTATCTCTTTTCAATTTATGCGATGCTCGTCGCTGAAGTCGCCTAAGTTCGGCGGGTTGTGAAGAAAATGTATTTTGAGGGACATATTGACTCCCATCGCAAGATACGAAGCAATCAGTTCTTCTACAATTTCCTTATAATTTCCCGCCCTCTTTTTTCCCAAAAAATTATTTATAACGTTTATGAACGCGGTCTATGATCTTTTTTCTATGGGACTAAGCATATTTTTCTGCTTAACAGTTGTTTGATTTGTGGACCATTGCAAACACCTTGAAGAGAGGAACAATTAAAAACTAAAAAATGAAAAGAGAGACATTAAGCACTTACCCGCCGTGATCTTAGCTTCGCTCATTTTTGGAAAGATAGCTTTAATAAGCTTAAACGCTGCACTGTCTGTGTTAAGTGCTCTTATAAAACTTTGAATTAAACCCAACTTAATATGGAGAGGGGGTAAAATTACTTTGCTGGATTCAACCAATGGTACATTGTCAATACTAAATTGGCCCAACTCAGCATCTGTACGAGGTTCCCATTCAAAATTGGTATAGTGAAGATCTTTTCTGCGTCCCTCCCAAACGCACAAAAAGCATTGGTGCCTCGAAAATCCTCTTTTTACACCTTTTAAGCAGAGAAACAACTTTAAGATCACAACAAATTATCCATGTGTGTTTCTTGTATTCTATTGAATCCAAAATTATTTTCATATTTTCGTACGTTTCAACCATACAAGTTGCGTAAGCAATTGGTACATTTGGTTCATTTCCAATATGAAGCAATACCGCCTTCAGCTTGCTTTAAATGAGAACCCACTATTTCTGCCGACTCTTTTGACATTTTAGCATCGCAAACCAAGTCATTAATGTCCTCTTGTGTCACAAAATGTACTGCTTCTGAACCGTATTCACTTGTCGGAAAAAATTCTGAAGGAGATAGTTCTCTTATGGACAATGAACCAACTTCAATTTCCTGGCAAGCTATATTCTTTTCCGAAGGAGCTGTTGGAAATTGGGTGCATCTTAATTGTGCCCTTATAACTGATTGAAGGTTAGGGTAAACCATTTTTTCGCGTGTGTTATAACGGAACCCACGAGTCTATGTTAAACAGAAATAACATTGTTCAGATGAGTTCTCAGTCCGTCGTAACCAAATTGTAGGCCGGACATATTTCATTTTATGTACAACCGATTCACTTTTCCATCCATTTAATCACCGATAGCAATAATCGCAGATTACTTCTGGCACGTACCATAGGTTTGGAACATACAAAACAACGAAATACTCTTCAAAACCTTTTTCAACACTTGCTTTAATACATCTTAAATGCTTTGGAGGTGCAAATAAGCCACAAACGTAACAAAATTTATTTTTTTTTGACACTCCATTTCTTAACCGTTTGAACACTTACGCACTGTTGTTGATAACATCAATGTTTTTAAAATCTAGGGTCACTAGGACATTAAACATATATAGGTATATACTGGCTGAATACTCCAAAAATTGAATTACTCGTAAAAAGCTTAAATGAATTGATCTAGAAAAACTGGGAGATACGTATATTTTATTTTGAGCTATATTTTCAGAATCTGGTCAGTTTGATCGTGGGTGAGACCAAAAGTTTAAATTTGTCGTACAGTGTAACGGTACCTCCCAATATTCGGTATTTTGATTATTTTTGACAAATTTTTCACGAATTTCGCTGAAAATTTAGTAGTTGTAGATCATAATGGGTCCCAGTTCGTATGGCGAGTCATTGTAATTATAGGTCCACGTTTTGGTATAGCCCCCATATAATGGTACCTCCCAATATTCGGTAATTTGATGATTTTTGCCAAATTTTTTTCACGTATTTGTCTGAAAATTGGTATTTGTAGGTCATAATGGGTTCTAGCTCCGTTGGCGGAACCTTGCATATGTAGGTCAACAATTTGGTATAGCCCCCATATAACGGTACCTCCCGATATTCGGCATTTTAATGGTTTTTGCTAAATTTTTTCTAATGTTTCCTTTACCCTAAGGTGGAGGGTATTAAAAGTTTGGCCCGGCCGAACTTAATGTTTTTATTTACTTGTTTTATCTCACCCTGTATATATATATGTGGGCAATTGAATTTCATAATCTCACTTTTAATATGAAACCTGAAACAAAACTTTATCAAAGAAAAAAATTTTTAGGGAAGTTCACAAAATCAAAACAAGCAAAAAAATGCTTGGTTAATAATTATTTAAGTTTTAATTCATAGCCAAGTGTCCTACCTTCGGCACTTCACTGTATGTGAAATATATATGATAATAATGTTATCTAATATATACATCTAATATAATCAAATATTTAACTCTTAAACTCTTTGTCTCTTTTTAGTTATGTGCCTTAGGATTAGCATCCTTGCTGGGAATAAACTTGCGTAACAAACGCCGAAGGGAACAATTTGAAAATTAGTCAAATACTGACTTTGTCGAATCGAATGAGGAATATACAAACAAATAAAACGTATTTATATTTTTGACTCTTTATTTTTGTTAAAATATATTTTTAATTGTATCGAATGCAAAACGGAATCGTAAATTATTGACATATTTATAAAAAAAATAGAAACACACACACGTAAAAAGGGATGACAGGTCACTAAAAAGTACCTACGAATAATAAAAAACAACAACCAAAAATATATATAAATATTTATTTATTTATGAAGCGTGAATTGTATTTTTATGATTTTATATATTGCCATATAAATGTTATAAACCTACAAACATACATACATGCAAACATTCAAATCATATTATGTACAACATGTTATTTACATATACGACGTATATAAGTGAATATTTGTTATTTGATTCACAACTCTATATACATATGACGGTATGAACAAGAAAAAATAAAACAAAATATATATCACAGACTTATTTTATATAAGAAAATATATTAATGAAAATAATATAAAACTAAATAATTGTGTTTACATTAATTAAACTTATTGGCCTTAGTGTTGGTTTAGGTGATGGTGAATAGTTCAATAAACCCTAGAATCGTGGAAAAACCTCCTTTGCGCATAGTAGCCGTACTTTCATGGAGTCTTCTCTATCAGTTCTTTACACCAGATATTGTGTTGTTGGAAATATTAAGATATGTGAAATTTTATGACAATCCGATTTATATTTCACATTTCATAACAGTTATAATTGTTCCAAATGTTTACCCTTTGTGGGGGAGAAGAAGGAGTGAGCCGATACATCGCAACTTGACATCAGACCTTGCGTTAGAAAAAATATTCAGATTTGTGAAATTTGAGTAGAATCGGATGGTTATTTTGTGTTTCATAAAAAAATTTTGACCTTATGTGGGGGAGGTACCAGAAGGAGTGATCCGACCTATCCCATCTTCATACCAGATCTAAAGTTATTAGAAATATCGGATATGCAATTAACACAATTGGACTCTTATTTTACATTTTATAAGTGTTGATATTACTCAAAATGTTGACCCTTTGTGGGGGAGGTACTAGAAGGAGTCAGTCTATATTGTCCATTTAACCTTGCGCAGATACGAATATTAGGATTTGCAAAGTTTGAACAAAATTGGATGATCATTTCTTGCTCTGTGAGGTAAATTATTTTTTTTTTAAATTTTGATCTTTTGTGAGTGAGGTACCAGAAGGAGTGGATGGATGTTGCCTATATCCAAACCGATGTAAGTTTAAAAATAATACAACGAAGTACGAAGTTGAGATCAAATCGGATACTCCCTTCGAGAGTTATCGTGCGCACCAGCCAAACAGACAGACAGACAGACGGACGGACATCCCTAGATCGACTACAAATGTCCTGAAAAGCGTTTGGTCCTAGGGTCTAAAACTGTTATTTCGATGAGGCACGTTTTGGCCGTACTAAATGATATATACCCATATGGCTGAGGGTGTACAAAGTACCATTATACTGGATTTTCCATCCCTGCTCCACACACACAATCAGCACCATTGTAAAACAACATATTCTGAGAGTTATAAAGTTGGGAGGACTGTAAACTTACATATTATATTATTGTCTCATACAACGGTATCGGCCAAAAAATGATGGCTGTAATTATTTCAAACGCCTTAGTTATCTCTTTATACCCTCCACCATACATAGTATGGAGGGTATATTAAGTTGGTCATTCCGTTTGTAACTCATCGAAATAATAATTTTAGACCCAACAAAGTATATATATTCTTGATCAGCGTAAAATTTTAAGACGATTTCAGTCCGTCTGTTGTAATCACGCTACAGTCAAAACGAATTAAGATAGGAATCTAAAATTTTGAACAGATCTGTCTTTTGTCTGCAGCAGGTCAAGTTCGAATGATGATTTTAGCCACATTTTTCAATGGAATTGTCTGAAATTGCACACATGGAGTTCCGTGTGAGTACTTTATCACCTGAAATAGAATTGTCTATATAGGTCCACAGTATCGTATATCCCCAATATATCGGCACCTTCCTATATTCGGTATTTTTAAGATTTTAACAGAATTTTTAATGGATTTTATTTATTTATTTATTTATTTTTTTTTTTTTTTTTTGAAAATTTACTAATTCATCCCAAATGGGGCAGGGTATTCAAAGTTCGGCCCGGCCGAGCTCACTGCTTTTTACTCGTTTCAATTGAATGGGATAAAATTTTGCATTATGTAATTGTTAGGTCAATTGTCATTAACTTAAGTTCCTTAACTTCCCACCGTTAAGATCTAAAATATTACCTTTTTGACTCCGATGAATCCTCCATTTTTTAACCTCGTTAATTATGATACTTCCGATCCCCAAAAACTTACAAAACCCATAACCCTTGTCACTGTGCAATGAAACAAATTCGTATTCACCACATTAGGCAACAAATTTCCTATGTCCCAATGCTATTATCTCTCTCTCTCCCTCTCTGTTTATATGAACCATTCTCTAGTACATGTACAAAGTCAAGAAGTGTGCGAATCATTCATGTGGATATCTAAAGGAAAATACTACAACCGACAGTTGGTTCATTCGCCCGACGCGTCAGCCGGTGTCGTCACTCATTATCCACTTGGCCAGCCAGTCATACGATTGGTTCTAATGTAAGAATACAGAATACAAATTGAAACCAACACAAATGTAATGGCTGTGAGTGTGGTTAATTATGGTTAATGTGAGTGTGGTATTTTTGGAAAATCTTGGCATATTTCAGAAAAGCCGCGGACACACACACGCCGCAGAGAGCAATAGATGACCACAGCAAAAACAGAAGAAAAACGCCAATTCACATTTTGGTGTTTTCGCATTTTCTCCGCCTGAGTTGATTCATTTAAATATTCGCTCGTTTGCCGTCAAGACGTACGTTGGCCGGCGCGTACAGCATTCGTCCGTTTCGAACGAACATACGTACATATATAACCAAAGAATTTCGCGAAACAAATTAACCACAATTCATTGAAAAGCATCTTCGCAGTTGTTCCCTTCCGCCCGCGATCCGATCGTATTGCCGATTAATTGATCAAAATGCATTTGAGTCGCACCTGTCTGCAGTGGACGGTCATCGTCTTCAATACAATGAGTGTTGTAAGTGTTCCTCATCTCATCTCCCCTCCCAAACCAATGAATCAATGATACTGCAAATCAAATGAACCAAATCTGATAACGGCATTCGAATAATGAACAATAAATTGATGAGAAATTTTGGGAAATTAGAATGCAATGGATGTGTGTGCGTGCGAGTGTGTGGAAAACTATTGTCTAATTTTAGAGAAAATATAAATTAAAATTTATGTCACAACCATATTAAAATCATATTCGCACAAACATACGTACATATGAAAGTACGTATGTAAAGATGATTATGCCATACTTCTGAAAAAAACATTTTCACGGCCCGTGTATGGGTGAAAAAATACGAAAATGGGAGAATGAAAAACATAAACAAATCGCATTTTGTTTATTGCCTCATTTCGAATATTATTTTTTCCAAACAGCTACTTTTTCATCAAAAACAAATTTCGTTTTCATTGCTAATTGATGGAAATTTTGAAAATTCATTGTGCGAGAGAGAAATGATTTTGGTTCGACGCGCAAACTTTTGACACGTGGTAAATTTTGAAAAATAATAAATACCTTGAAATATTTTAGTGCATACGTCTGATAATAATTGGGAAAGCCATGTGTTTTTGATTGACATTGGAGCTCTTTATTTCAAACTGATAATTGGTATATTTTTTTCGCAAAAAAATAATGATATTCATATATAAACAAAATATCTGATGGGTAAACAAATGTTTGTAACTGAACAAAAGAAAAGTGTTTCAAATAAAGGCATGAATCAATACAAATAAATGTAAATTAAAGAAATAAACTAGTGGAATATAGACCTAGAAATAACTAGATATCACAAAATGTTTAAAGGCCAATTAAGAAAGTGAAAAGTTCTACCAAGTCTCATAACCCGAAAGGAATCAAAACTTTTTAAAGAAATATGTCCCTTTATGTTAGCGAACATTCCATATTTGAATTAAATTTCATTTTCTTAGAGTTGTTACCAAGCAATATCTCTAAAATCCTATTTAAGGTACCTCCTAATTTATGTTAATGTACGAGTTTTTCGCACATATTCGAACCGAATCTGCTGAAAGATAGCATTTACTTTTGACTCTCGGAATGTCAAAGTTCATATATATTCTCCACCATACTATGGAGGGTATATTAACTTTGTCATTACGTTTGTAACTCCTTGAAATACTGATGTCAGACCCAACAAAGTACAGGGTTGCCCATATTCGACGGACCCATCTGGCAACGCCATAACTTTTGACAGAGATGTCACATCGCTTAATGACATACCGCGTTTGAAGCGTCAGTCCAAGCAGATTTTTACCATGAACCAATACACGCCACGCGAGCGCTCTGAAATAGTTGAAATTTAGATTCAACAGAAGAAGTCAATTGTGAAAACTCAACGTGCTTTTAAAACATTAAAAAATGTGAGAAGTACGCCTTTTCGACTCCATTTTCGTCTGCACCATTTTCGACTGGCAAGGCTCTTTCTAATCCGAAGAGGCCATATAAAAGTCGACCAAGCCGATCGGCCGAGAATATCGCTGCCGTACGAGCCAGTGTTGAGAGGTCCCCAAGAACATCCCAAAAACGCCGTTCTCAGCAGTTGTGCATGGCTCGGTCCACTTTACAACGTATTATTCGCATTGATTTGCATTTGTTCCCGTACAAAATTCAATTGTCGCAAAGAATGTTGCCTGCGGACAAGCCTCGTCGATTGGAATGGGCCCAAAGAGTCATGGGTCCGTCGAATATGGGCAACCCTGTATATATATTCTTAATCAGCGTAAAATTCTAAGTCGGTTTGGCGGTACCCGTCTGTCTTTGTGTGTGCACACACACACTTTGGTGATCTCCATTGAATTTTTGGCCCAAGGCGAGCCCTATTGAAGTTAGTGGTTATCGACTTAGATTCGAGCATTGCTCCCATATACAAGGTAAGGTAAAAAAACTGCAACA